CAGGAATGAGCAGGCCAGGAACCCATGGCAGGGCAGTGCATGGAGTTTACCCCTTTTTGATTTTTCCAGATGCTGCAGTAGAACAGAGAGACTTTGAGAGAGGGAAAACGAGAACAAGTTACCACAGATTAAATTTCTGGTGCTCATCTGTCTGTAACAACCCATCCAGACCTGCAGGAAAACCACCTCTTCAGCACAGCCAAGATCCATCTGGACTGGCAACACATGGGAATTAGCTGAGGGCAAAGCTTTTCTGATTTAGGTTGCTGCTTTTGCTTCTGGCTTTGGAGGAAGGAAACGAGAAAGAGTCCTTCTGGGTCCTGGTTGAGTTATCTGTACTGGGTCAGTATTTATGAGTGAATCTCTTCATGCTCACAAGCAGGCTGGAACGTATTAAAGAGATACACAAACTGATTGAGCCCCAGGGCTCCCACTGTGCACACTCTTTAAGATACTAAGCCACTAATGGCCTACAGAGATATATATGCACAAATCAAGAGCTGTGCTTAGACACTGAATGGCTGAGCTGCTAAGCCCCAAGCTGTTACTAGTGAAAAATAAATTTTGTAGCAAGAAAAGAGAGTGAGGGCTCAAAAAAAGCTGGAACAAGAGAAAAGCAGCTGAAAAAGCAGTAGATGAGAAGCAGATGTTGATGGCTAGATATCAAGGGGCATCTTGTGGGTATCAAAGCAAGAATTTCATTACAATTATCTCCATAATAAGTGATAGATACTCAAGCAATTAATTAGGACAGGCAGTCAAATGAAAATTTTACATTTCTAAAATTTATATCCATGTACAATCTTTGTATTGTAGTTTACGTGAAAAAATCTTGCCATCACTGCAGAGCTATCTAAAACAAGAATTATGATGACAACCCATCCTCCAGCCATCAGGACCAAGCGGGCATAGGTTAATACCAGAAATAAATGCTTTTTAATAGGAGAAGGCAAAGCCCCCTTCGGTAAAACAAGCCTGATGAGCTTAGAGTAAGGAAGTGTGATAAAGAAGTGAGGAGCAGTCTCAGCTACTTGGAATTTCTGCTTGCCCAAAGCTTTTAAGAACCTGCAAGAACCTGTTGCTGTCTTGTTTAAAACCACTGTAACAAAGCCAACAGCAGACATTTTCTCCTTACTGCTGCTATCCAGGTGCTTGCCTCAGACAACTTCCCACTAATCTCTATTTCAGCCTCTTTGTCTGTCTTTCATTCTTCTCCCTCTCTTCTCCATGCTTTCCTTATGACATTGTTTTTCCATCTCTCTTTTACCTTACTTCCTAGCCTGCTAGCATCTTCTGTGACCAAAATGTGCCTCACCTTCTCTCACAGTATTTTTAAAGGTGGCAATTCTCAGCCTTTCCATTTTGCAGAGATGTCACATTTAACTCCTTGGTGGAATATTTTGTTCTTCGCAGCACAGATCATGTGTTTCTGTTTACAGTGTCTGAGTAGGCCTTTTGTTTGCTACAAAAATATAGAAGTATGGTAATTTTGTACCTACTTAATTTGGATTGTTTTTGTAAAATACACCTCATTTTATTTGCAACTTAGCAGCAGCATTTTGCAGGAAAGAGCAAGATTATTGATGAGGATCAATCTTCCTTTCTGAAAAATCCAAGTGGAGAGAGAGCAAATGCCTCATGCCTGGCTTTTACCAGAGCTAACAATACTTTCAAGATCTGAAAGCAGCACAAGCTTCTTACTTTCCCAAGTATGCACAGCCCCCTATGCTATTACCTCTTAAATTAAGAAGCTTTCCCAACATATGGTGGCCAAAGGTCATTTCATTCACTCAACAGAAGAGTCAATTTAGCTTCATATGGTTTCAAATTATTGATATTTCAGAAAACTACAGGCAGCAGCAGCAGACTAGCTTTACCCTCAAGTTACCACCAAGGGATCAACCCCAGATGTCAGTTTTGGTAGAACACAGTCTGTCAAAAATCTATAATTAATGCCAGTGCCTATGCATAGATACTTATACAGCAGCCAGCCTTTTTTACCTGCAGCCCTCAGAAATCCTGAGGAAGAACCTGGGAGTGAAGCAAACAACAGATTTGCAAATCTCTCAAACATAGCAAGTCTGTGATTTTTCAGATCCAACAAAATCACTAAGATGATCTCTTCTTGTGAAAGAGCAACAGTTCATTTTAAAGATAAAAAAGGAAGTAGTTTAAAGAAAAGCATCAGATAGTTTATTATGCAGAGAAGAGGAAGGCAAGGGTGTGCAGGTTGAGGGAAGATGTTCAACAAAGCCCAACTCAGACCAAAGGCTTCAGCCATGTTCTGGATTTTGCTTTGCCAACTGCTTCCTAATTAAGAGTTTTGGATGCCAAAAAGTGCTGATTAACTGTGAAAAGGACAGCACTAAAAATATTATATGGGAGCCCATCTCAGCCAACTGGAAGTCAGTAGACAGAAATAAAGCTCACTAATTATGTTTCTTTAGGAAATTACAGATACCTACTGAGAGTATCCATCACTAAATGGTGTTTTTCCTAGTATTTCAGCTTTGCTAGTTAGTCTTGTGAGGAACCATCTTCACATAAAATTTAGTAACTTAAAAGTGTAAGACAGAATAAGGTGTAAGACAGAATAAGGTGTAAGCAATTGAAATGTTAAGAGACTTTTAGTTTAGAACCTCCAAACTGCATGATTGCTATGCAATTAAGAACTGTTTGGTAACGAAAATAATCTTTTCTTTTGATGTTACATCATTCCTGATATTTTGAAGCATTCTTTGAAGGTATCCTGTGCATGGCAGAAACCTGACTTTGGGACTGAAAAATAAAATTTACTTAAGCAATTTCTACAGAAATAGTCAGAAGCATGATATTACCTTTTATTTATTTTTTGCATTTTCAGAGCATAATACCTAAATAAACTTACCATGAGGAATGGCTATGCAGTAAGTCACAGCATTTAGAATGTGTTGGGAGTTTGAAAGTAGCATCATGAAAAATACTGTTCAAATGTTTAGTATGTCCAGTGAGTGCTGTCTGCAATGCCTTTGAAATTCGAGCTTAGAAGAAGCGATGGTTGTGCAGAAGCAAAGCTGGGGCTGTAAGGGTATGGACACCATGTTCCATGTAATTAAGAAGCAACCTATCAGCACTAAGATGGTAATGCTATCCCATCTGCCAATCCCTGCAGTAGCTGGCACTGCGCCTCCTGCCTGCTGCTGCTTCTGTTACCCACCTGATCCTTGGAGACCTGCTCTGATGGAGCGTTTATGCCAAGCTCTTCCAGAGGATAGACAATCTGTCGTCGTGGTCGCACGGGAACCATGTAATGAAGGGCAGATGTCAGGGAATGGGCACAGGGATTCTGAAACTGAAAGACAGCGATCCATATTTCAGCAGAGAGAATGTCAGAACAGTGCATCACAGATGTCTGTTGTATGGCTTTGCAAATACAAAATTCTTAGCTCTGTTGGCTAAATCTGAGAGAAAAATCAGCAAATAAACAAACATACTCAGAGCAGAGGAATGAATTGCAGATAATTCCTGACACTAATGAAGATAATTATGAGAGTAATTACATTACTATCTCTGTGGGAATGACAGATAAACAAGTGGTTTGGTTTATGGGATTTTTCAGCACAAGTATTTTCCCCAGGAGGATATTTTTCTCCATAGCGATCATGAATCAGCTTGATTTGACCTCATTAAGCTATGTTATCTGCTTAGTGCTAACCTTTGCTTGTTTGGCAAAGAATGGTTATGAATTGATATAGAAATTCTATACCAACTAAAATGTCAATTTCATCCAAGTGATAAATGTTAATAAACTGGCATAAACTAGAAGTGAACAAAAACCCTAATGCTAATGTGAATAGCATGGATCATTAGAAAAAAGCTGTATTCTGTTTATTACAGCATGACTGGCTCTGTCATAATTTATGACATGAAAGGCAAAAAATAAATAAGAGGATTACAGGAAAAAGGAAATGAACATTAATGCAAACTAAATTACACTGAAGAACTGTTCCATCCACAAATATTGAAAAAACTTGATGTCACTATATTGAGAGCTGAGTAAAATATCACCTTTACCACCTACTAGAAAGCAATGATAAACTAAAGTAACTTAAAGGACTTTTGTAGCCTGGAAATAGACCGAACTGGAATCATTAGTAAGATTTAACTTTCCCATCCCATTAAACTGCATTTTTCTAAGTGCCTCTTAAGAATCTGAGGACATAATGCTACACAAGGACATTGGTTCCTCAAGAAGAGACTTAAAACTCCACAAAAGTGCACAGGAAATAACATCCTTCTGAAAATGTACCCATGTCTAACCTGGCAAAATTTCTGTGTTAAAGATGGTGGTGATTTCAAAAACACCTAGGTCATGGAGGACAGAATTCATCTCAGCTGCCATCTAAAAGCCAGCTGCTTACTCTATCTAGCCATGCAGACACCACCAGAGTTAGAGATGAGTGTCTCCAGAGGGCAATTCTTTTCATCCTAAGATAGGTAGTTATGATCGATGGTTGAACTGCCCCCTGGATGCACTGTGTTTGCTCCACTAATGCTGGCAGGAGCCCAGGTGATTAGGCTGCGCCAGATAGTAACTCTAGATGGCTACACATCAAAGAGTCGACAGGTTTGAAAATGTTACCTTGTGGTCACTTTTCTGGCATGAGATTGGTGACAAGACACATACATGAGTATTTTTGAAATAATATTTTCTTTCGCTTCTACAAATTGCATTCTTCTCAGAAATTTATTTTCTCACAGAGCATTAGGTTCTTATGGTTCTCCTCTGACACTCGCAGAAACACAAGTTGCATTTTCAATGAAAACGAGGTGCCTAGGTCCCACTGACTTTTGATGAAACACAGTCTAGGGTACCTAAATCACTTTAGAAGATTTACCATAAACCACCTGTATGTGTTATTAATATAACATATTCATGCTTCGTTATGCCCAGTGACATAATTATTTTTTTCTTCCCTGCCCTCCATTTAGTCCTGAACCTAAACAAATACTGGTACCTCTCAAAATTAATGATGTGGCTGAGTGGTGGTATGTGGGACAGTACAACTTCACCAGGTTCTATTATTAAACTATGACAGGAAATACAAATTGTTGTTGAATATAAAGATATGATACACACTTTAAACTTTGTCATTTAAAATCTGACTGGTGACTGATCTACTAGTGACAAAGATATCCCAGATGTATTACCATCTTAAGAACAATTAAATGAAAACTATTATGTTGGTCCCCTCAGTTGATGAGTTGAGAGTTTCTTATTTCTTCACATACACATCCAATACAAGGGAAAGAAATGAAGTCAAACCCAAACTATAGCTTACAACTCAGATGTGGGGTCCTAATGTTGGCAGCAGTGGAAGTACTGGATGCTTCCTACTCCATCTTGGAACTGATCTATTTGGAACAGACAGGACAGGGCACCCACTTGAATGTCAGACCTGCAGCACAGTTACGGAGGGGGCTGACACGTGCACACGGCAAGAGCAACACACGAACCAACGGGGGTTAAGAAGCAGATATACTCCTCTCAGAATCAAGTGAGGAGGCAGCATACAAATTATTCCTCTGCTGTGCTGCTCCCAGGGCAACATACTTGTGTGTGTAACTTCAGACATCTAACTGCATTCTGGGAACAGTTGCCTTAGGATTCTCTGAATTCAATTGAGAAACAGACATTTGCAAAGAGTGACTCAGGTCAGAAGGAGCCACCCCCTAGGAAGAGTCTCTTCACAGACTCAGTAAAGAGCCAAGGCCAAGCACACTCCACACGCCTGCTGTGCATACTGGGTATATGCCTGGACTCACATGCACTACTGAGATCTATGGACTGACCCTGCTGTGCAGCAGTACATCCATGAGTGCAGGCTGCATCATGCAAGAAGAAAAGAAAGTACAATTTGCTGCAGCTAAGAAAATTTCTGTTTACAGTCATTCACAGAAGCAAAGAGATATATAAAGTGAGCAATGGTGACAGTATGTATTGTAAGAAATACAAATAACTTTCTCCTTACCTTGCCTTCCACATATTGTGGATAAACAGGATAGTAAAGAGAAGATTTGTGGCCCAAGCGAAGAATCTCCTTTAGAAAGTGTTTTGTATAGTGATGAAATATAGGATTTAAGACAAAGTGGTAAAGATGTCCATGTTCCTCTTGCTGGTAGAGATTAAAATTAATAAAATCTTCAATGTTGTAATGTGATCGAATATACTCAATATCCTGGAATAAAAGAATTTGGAAATCAGCTGTGGTGCAATAGCTGCATTTACAATATTTTAGCAAACGACAGTGAGTTGTTTTCTGCTAGTTAAGGAACTGAATTAGAACACTGAAATTAATGTGCCTTTGAAAGTTTTTCTCTGTTAAAGCACATTGGCTGAACATATTTTTCTTTAAAATCTTTTCATTGTATCAACATCTATTCTTGCAGCCTGCCCACATTTATTTACAAGGAATGCATATGTGACACTTTCACAACCATGTCTGATACAGGTTTAGAGATACTCATGGAAGGGAAAAAAAACCATAACAAAACACTCTGATTTGCTGAGTTCAAGACAGAGAAGCCTAGCCTGTCTTCTCACAAAACTAAAACTGAAAAAGGGGAATACTACAAAGAAGAGCTGGGTAAGAAATGACCTCCAACAAGCCTTCCTTGTTGAAGAGACAAGTTGAGATTTTTACACATTTATATACTCAAGAGAAATTGCTATATCCTCTTATTTCAATGCTCTTCAAGCAATTAAGATTTATTTTTGAAAACAGAAGTGACTATTTAAAAAACTGAGCATTTCAGCTGCTGAACAATCTAAAATCTTCCTTCTCAGTCATAGCAGAATGCTACAAAAGTAACCCTAAAGAATGTTTACCAGAACAATGTGAAACATTTTCTTTTTTTTGGTGCTCCTTAGAGATAATACTTTTTATTTGTTTCAAAGTGAAGTGCGTGATTCTTAACATCTCAGAATCTAGTCTTGGAGAAAAAAGAAAGTACATCTAGAAGGACAATCACTATTCTTTGCAGTACAGGTGGCAATGCTGCTTATTAACTTTGGAAATCAGGGGCCAAAACAGGTGAATCTAAACGTATTTAAAGGAAGGATGGCTTTGTGCTAAAGAACCAAAGAGAGTTATGGAAGGCCTACTTTCAAAACACATCAGCAACTTGCAAATAGTAAGATGATTTTTTTTCATCTATGTGTAAATTATGACCTATAAGAAGGGAATTCATGCAGTCTAGTCAGGAAAGAGAGAAAGGAAGTTTATAGAAGCAGTACTGTTTTACATATATTTTGTTAGGTACACATACAGCGGCAAGCACAAAACTCAGCCTTGAGTGCTGAGGACTAAACATTACTTCTTTCATACAGCACAGAAACAGAATTTACCATTTCATCTCTAATGACAGAAATGCCAACTATTTGATCCAAAACTTCTGCTACGAAAGCCTGTACCGGGGTCCCATCCTGCAAGGCAAAACCAACATATGCACATTTCCCATTTCATTCATAATCTTTTTAATTGTAACTGTGTACTTCACCACACAATCACAGTTAAAATACTTTCTGCCTAGTGTACATTCTACACACTATCCTAATATAACCACTCCTTCTAGTGTCTATGGCTGGACTTTCAACCATGCAGAACTTCACTGAAATGAAGCTTCAGTTTGGATCTACATGCTACAGGAGTACTTAAGCTCAGCCACTAATCTAGTCCTGGGTTAAATTCTGATCTTAGGGAAAGAAAAAACAACAAACAGATGTATAAAAAGGATTTCTCTACAGCTGTATGATTGGTAACTATAATGCCTTGTTTGTTGTCTATGTAGCATTTTCCACCACACAACAAAATGCAGATGTTCCCTACTGTCTGATGGGCATCTGTCTGGCCACATCATTGAAAGGAGAAAGAGATCCCATCATGTAATGAAACACAAGTACACGTTCATTACACAACTAGAGAGATGTGCAAGAAAGAGCAACTGTGCAAACTAGGCTGCGGGTGGCCAACAAATGCATCCAACCTGCTTCTGTCCCTGCATCTGGGGAGTCTCCAAAGAGGAGGGCAGTTGTTAAAGGCCACAAGTTTGATTAACAATCAAATCAGGCTCAACACAACTTACACTATGTTGACACTGACTTGAGTACCTTATATACTACATATATAGTATCCCAGTTTAGAGTAATGTAATTAATTCTGCATGCTTTTTATCAGCACTTATCCATACTCTTGGCAGTCTATTTGCAACAAATACTTACTGGATCCCTGCGAGCCAGAGTAAATATCTCTGAGTCATTCAACATACTTTCATTCAAGCTAAGGGTTTTAATGAGCGTTTTAACACCAAGCAGGTCATTGGTTGTTGCCTTCCTTACATTAAATGCCCTGTGAAAAAAAAAAAAGGGAAAAGTGAGTAAAAGTTCATTCTGCAACAAATTAAAGACAATTCCCATGCTTACGACGACACTCCTTCCACAAGCACTGAATTCACATCTTTTAGAAGCTGAAGTTGATTGCTATATGACTGTTAGTCCAAATGTATATTAACTTGCTGCATGGTAACATTAAAGATCACAAAACATCTACTTCAGACAACTCAAGAATGCTCCTTTAACTGCTACTAAGCACTCAGTCCTTCTGCACCAAAAGCCCAATCCCACAAAGCAATGTCTAGCTATAACCACATGTATCACCTAATCTTCTTGTAAGTAAGAGCCAGCAGAGAAAGGAGGCAAAAAATCTTTTAAAATTAAAGTAGAATCTGTAACTGTACACTGACACACATAGGGAAAAGAGAAAAGAAAGAATCAGAGAACTATAAGAAAAAGAGAAAAAAGGAGAGAGAGAGAAAAAAAACCAAACCCAACAGAGCCAACTGTCAACCTTAGATATGGTACAAAAGAAGGGCAGTAAGGTCAATTTCTCCAACAAGAATAAATCACTAAAATTTGTGTTAGACCTCAGCTCTTCATATTGTAACACATGAGGATAAACTTAAATGGATAAAATGCCTTTGATAAACACAAGTTTGCCAATTCGTAATCATGTAACAGTGACATGGTATAAAAAAGTCTATGCAACATACACAGTCAGCAGCATGTTCACTACAGACAGGAATATCCTGGCACTTATCTAGTGTAAACACTCTGTTAAAAAACATCTTTCCACCTTTCCAATCCTTTCCCATCTTTCCAATCATGAAAAAAAATCACTTCACAGTGACAATCTACAGCAGCCATGGAGCTTTCATGTTGTCTGTTACAGGCATTGACCTTTCCTGGTTAAACCAGGCTCAGACAGTAAAGACTCACAAAGTGCTTCCAGTCAAGGAGCTGAATTACAACTTATGTTCCAAGAATTAAGTTCTTTCACCCATAGCTAAAAAACTTGCACCTCATGTAGTATAATTCCTGTTCTTGTTTTCAATTTAAACTTCTATGTGCTATTCTTCAGCCTAAGTCACATTGAGATTGATTTTGTGCAATACTGTTTCAAGGAATAGCACTAGTACTTCCAAAAACAAACCTACCAAATGCCTGGTATGTTATGGGAACTTTCAGAGCTCAATCTCAGTGATTGTGTTCAACTTGGTTATTTAAGTGCTTGAAAGCATACATTTGGTTACTAAATTCCAAACTAATCTTGAACTTGCAAGCGAGCATCAGCTTAGCTTCCACATTAGTTAACACATTTCCACAAGCAGTTAATTGGAAGATCAAACAAAGGGATGAGGATGGTGGTCAGCAAGATCACCGATATGGTTCACTCTGCAACCCATGAACGTGGTGCTATTTTCCTGCCACTCCAATGAGCCCAGCACGTGAGTTTTTCTCTTCACCCATGTCCAAGAGAAGGCAGTTGCACCAATAATGAACTACATTTCTAATATGAGTAAAATCAGGACATGTAAAAAATTGAAAATCTTTTCAAAAACAAATGAAACCACCAGATCCACTGGGAGTATGAAATAGTAGGAAAGAGTACCCAAGGTCTGTGCTCATTTCTCTTCCAGCAACGAATTAACTCATTCTAGATGCCCAATTCCTTTGACTGCTCAGAGACCAGGATGCTATTATTATTATTATGCTTTTTAGTGAAAATTGAGGGAAAGTATCCATTAAGCATTTCAGCCTATGCCTTGTCATCTGTTATTTTTTTTCTCCTTCACTGTTAAGAAGCAGACCTATACTTCCATTTGCTGCACTCTTCCTTTTTGTGTACTTAACACTTCTTATTCCTTTTACAACCTTTACTAATCAGTATCTCATTTTGTGCCTGTGCCTCTTCTGATTTTGCCCTTTCATGTCTTCATATTCCCATCTTCTTATCCCTGTTTTTCTTCTAATCCATTTTCTGTGACTTCCTTTTCACTCACATGCCTTTCAAAAGCCCTTGGTGCAAGTACAATACATTGATCTTTTACTTTTTTTATATTTTAGTTTCATCTAAGAGTGCATCCGCTGTTGTGCACTGACTTTTTTTCTTCTTCAGAAACTTCCCAAAAGCTTCATCTGGTTTCTACCATAACTTTTCTGATCCTGAACCTCAATGAAAAGCTATTTTTCCTTACTTTCCCCACAGCTGCAGGGGGCTTTGGAAAATGATACTAATGACCCTATTCTCTTTTCATGGAAGGGTTGCTATAATTTGGAATACACACAATTTAATCAGAATTGTAAGGGTTTTTTAAAAAACCTTGATAACAAGTTTAATTTTGACCAAAACCACAGGAGGACGTATGGCTACCAATCCTACTGGTGGATTACTGAACAGCTGTGACTGAGATTAACAGGAATTACTCCAGCGGCTTTCTCTTCCGCCAGCTGGATTCTTCCACAGTACACAGAAGCCCACTTTCATCCCAGAGTGAAAAGCTTCTGCACAGGTCCAATAGTAGCTGGCCAGTTCTTGCATGAGCTATTTGTATACCATCAAAGGTGATTAAGTATGCAATTAAAACAGAAGTATTTATCTGAAACCACACGGTATTTAGCTACAATAAGACCAAAAAAAGGAAAATCTCTAACTGTGCCACAATTTAAGCTTGGTGTTTGGGCCAACATAGGCTTATTACACAAACAAAGCATTGGAAAATTCATACCAAGTAACAGAACTCACAACAAGAGATGTTTTTCTGTCTCAGCTCACCACTATTCAGGCTACAGGAGCATTCAGAGTATCACAGAAATTGAAAGGTATGAAATAAATTATTCAACACAAAAAATAAGGGATAAATTACATAAAATAGACAGTCAGCAATGAAGTTACTGCTGTGTTCTGCATGTTCCAGAAATGCATTACTACATTTCTCTTAAGAGAGTGATACCATGTTTCCAAGAATCAAATCTACACCAGGCTTCCAAGTATCAATGTCACAAAATCTGACTCAAGTCCAAGTGGCAAAATGCTCACCTTGGTCCACAAGAACATAACTGAAGAACCTACTTGTCCATACCAATGTTCATCTTCATTAAGTTCGTACTGTACATGCAGATTTTAAATGAATCCTCTTGTTGCAGTTCTTGTTTTTACTTAAAGGAAACTGCATATAAATACTGGCATTCTGAAGACTGCTTGTTTTTAATTTTTCATTATATCACTTTTTGCTTCATTAAAAGTCATGTTACTGATTTCTTTATTTCACTGAAAATATAAGGCTATTTCTCCACTGTCTAGTATAAAGCTGTGTGGAGATACATCTGAGCAGGCTTAGGACTCACTCCAGAACAGAAAGCAAGACAGCTGCAGTAATGCTGGTAAAGAATAAGCCACTTAGCTCTGCTCCTAATTGCTCCAGGCACAGTCCTGTGCTATTCCACTATACTGTTCTGGGGACTCAAGCTACCATTTCTGCAAGGTGTTGTGCCATACTGTATTGAATATCAGCTTATTCTGAGATTGCAAAGGAATATCCATCTGGTGGTAGGTTGGATGATGATGGTATATTCAATAAAAGTAGTTCAGAGCACAAAATCTGTGTCACAAGAGACATGACTCACTTCAGCAATCCTGCACGGTGGAACACATAAAGCTCATGACCAACTTTGGAAGTACAGAAAGGGACAACTCGAACAAAACTCCGGAGCAGGTAGAACTCTGGTACCTGATGTGGCAGGAGGAAGACACAGAAGTCTTTGTCCTGAAAAATATTTGCAGACATCAAAGGCTCTTAGTGATCTCAATGTAAGCTTTACACAAAAGCTTCTGACTAGAGGTGGTAGAAAGAAAAGAAACTGAATGCAGTGTTTACAAATGTTAGTGTACGTTGTTTAGATTTGTGGAGGAAGGGGGTTAGGAATAGGACTAGTACGGAGGCGGCTAGGGCTAGTACTCCTCCTAGTTTATTGGGGATTGATCGTAGGATGGCATACGCGAATAGGAAGTATCATTCTGGTTTGATGTGAGGTGGTGTTACTAGGGGGTTGGCTGGGGTCAAGTTTTCGGGGTCTCCCAGTAGGATGGGGGAGAATAGGGCTAGGGTCAGTAAGGGGGTGAGCATGATGATGAATCCTAGGAGGTCTTTTGTGGAGAAGTAAGGGTGGAATGGGATTTTGTCGCAGTTTGATACGATTCCTAGGGGGTTGTTGGATCCGGATTCGTGGAGGAAGGTGAGGTGGATGAGGGTGAGGCCTGCGATTAGGAAGGGGAGGAGGAAGTGTAGGGCGAAAAATCGGGTTAATGTGGGGTTGTCTACAGAGAATCCCCCTCAGGCTCACTCTACAGTGTTACGGACACTCTGCCTGGATGGCTTCATGCTTAGGCAGCACAAAGGAATGGATGAACTCAATGTTAAGGTGGCTCACAGGAATGGGTCTTTTAGCTCCCATAATAAAGACTTATTAGTTAATGTCCTGATATTCTCCAACGGCCATTTTTCTCCAGCCCCTTTATTTTCTTTTCCTCTTCAGTAGTATAGAGTCTCAATTGGAAGGGACCTACAACGATTATCTAGTCCAATTATCTCATGGGAACATTATCTCTATGTGCCACACCTTTAAGGCTAACATTTTCCCTTAAAAGGTCCTTCATTCTACTTTACTATTCTTCTGCAGTAAAAATTCAGGATAACGTATGTCTGGCTGGGATCTCGCACATGTTTCAGCCAAGCGAGACCATCAACTATGGCAGCACGTCCTAAAGTCCCAAACAAGCAGCCAGTGTGTAGGCACAGACTGACTTTGCAGTGCATGCACAGACTTGATGAACTCAAGTCTGTCCATGCACTGTGATGCCCAGCTTTTCCCCGAGTTGGCACAGCTGGCATGCATGTGCATTCAAAACCACACTGCCCTGGCAGTCAGTGTAGCTGTTCAGAGACCTGTGCTGTAAAGGCTGCAGAGGTGCAAAGGAATGCAGGAATCTCCACTGAATGCTCTCAGTTGAAAGACAGCAAGCATCCTCTGGAGATAAAATCACATGCCACAAATAACTTGATGCATTCAAACTGCTCAAGCACTCCTTTCCATGGTTCCTTTTTATTGAATACATGTTTTAAGATAATCTCCCTGCACAGAGGGATGCTGGAGAACTCTGACAATTCAGAAAGACACTTCATACAGCATGAGAGGGACACACCGAGACTCCCATGTTACACAGTTTGATCAGTTTACTCTGGCTGATTATTCTACAGCAACTTTTCTGAAGAAATACAACATTTGAATCTCACTGCTTTGCTTTTAGCACACTGGGATTAATTTTTCTTACTACACCTGGTGACATTTTGTTGCAAGAAGTGACAGGCACATTGTTGGGTGGATAAATTGCCTAAGAGATTTGAAATATTTTCTGTGTTTGCTTGCTCTGGTGTAAGCAGCATTTTTTTAACATGTTGATATTTTGGGCCAAGTCTGTACCTCTAGTCACCAGGATCTGCCTGTAAAGGATGCTACCATGGAGTCATTTGTAGTGTGAATTTACAACACACTGCAGTGTGCATTACGAATCTCTCAAGGTGTCCTGTGTTTTCTCAGATAAAGACTGAATACACAGGGTATCAGTGTGAAATACCCATCCTTATTTGCCACACACTAGCTTTGCCCTGAAGACAAACCTGCAGTGCCACTGTTCAGGCCATTGGTAAATGATACAGATTGCCTTAATACTGCTGTTTTCCATGCTTTAACTCCACCTCCTTTAATGTCTTATGTAGGCAATATATGGAGTGCAAAAGCAGCCAAGGAGAGAAGCCAGACTCCTGGGGCAAATTCAGCCCAAGGTAACTAGCCATGGCATACCCCTGTGAGGCACTCACTCACTTGGGCATTGCATCTATAATACTCTGGCTGACAACTGCACTTCATCCCATCAGGCATACACATGCATACAAACTTTAAAATTTTAATTATACATACTGGGAAAAGCTTGAAAACATAATGCAGAAAATCCAGTGACCTGCAACCAAAAGTAAACTGTTAAATAAAGCACATATGAGACAGTTCCCATACATTTCAATATTTACACCCCTTAAGTGAAAGGAACATTTATTCACAGGCTCAATCAGACAGTCCTGCTAGCTCATCATTAATCAACTGCAAATATTGCATTGCTGCACATCAGTTGTTGACTTCTAATGCTTAAAGCATCACTATTAACAAGAATAAACCTGAATGTCTGAAATAACAACAAAACATTAAGCTTTTCACTGAAAGGAAAAAAAATAATTGCTCATGTTGCTGACTACAAGATTTTTCAGAACTCATTCATGGATTGTCAGAGCAGCATTAGTATATAGCAAACATTAATTGGGGCTACAAACAGTCTTTGCTGTGTTCCACAATATTTTCATCCAGTACCAAGAGTTTGGTCACTATCCACTTGGTAAACCTATCTGATGCACTTTATCAGACTAACAGGAACATCAATACTTTGAAATTGTTTTTGAACACTTTACTTCTTTCCACTTCTCACCTACTGATTTAAAGTAATTCTACTCTCTTTTCCATGGTGACAGTGAAGTGTGACATCTGAGTTTAAAACAACATAAGAAATCTAACAGATTTGTCCTGCTTTTCTTCCGTGTAAAGACATCAAAGAGCTCTAAACACATAAAATAGTTACTCTGAAGATTTAGAAAACATTTTTCCAGTGTGTCTTTTGAAAAAAAATCTATGATTGGATGAAAACTTAAAAAAACCTATAAATACAGATCTGGATTGAGGTGTTATATATTCACCTATATAATAAATAATTATGACTAATTAATAGAACAGCTAAATGCAGTAAACAAAAGAGCCATTCAATATAGTTTTCTATGCTCTGGTAGCCAGTACCTCCTTGGCAGTAAGGAACACAGTAACAGAGGCAGGAGATTTTTCAGGGGCTTAAAAAGGTATCAAATAGCTGCAATTAAACTAGCAAGTTACTTCCTTCACATTTCATTTTCAATGTACTAAAACAAGCCACTTAACAGCTCTAGATTTAGAAGATGGAAATACTTAGCAACTTTTCTGGGCAACACAAATTCCCCAGTAGTAAACTTCCTTTGAGGGCTAGGATGCAATCATACCTACACTTCAACCAAACTCCTGTTTTTTGGATCCATGCTGTGCAGGGATAGCAGAAACTCCTTTGGGACAACTCTGAGGAACAGCCTCATGCCATCCTTTCAACCTATTTGATTTTCTAATTTTTTTTTTGACAAACAGGTGGATCAAGCAATTGCAAGCTAGGGAAGCATACAAGTGAAGTATTTTAAATCACAAAGATCTACAGATCCGAGAAGAGGATCTTGCATGCGTGCTAATCTTAGGAGAAGTCTTCAGAAAGGAATGCTATCTTTTTCACAGATACATATCTTGGAATTCCAACTGTTCTAGAGATGTCTCCAGATAAAAAAAGAATGGACTGCAGTGCTCCAACACTAAACACGTATCTTGAACAGAAACAATGAGGCATAAAAAGGCAGAATGTCAGAAGAGGGCAAAAAGTGACAGATCGTTATCCTAAGCAGGATGCTATGAGCAGAGAACTCAACTCATCTGCAGAGAAGTTATCTCCCAGCATAGCTACAGATCACAGCTTTGAACTGCTATTTCAGCATAATAGAGTAATTGCTGAACAAGTCCCTCACCTCAGTATTATTATTTTAAAATAAAGTTTTATTCTGGAATAATTATCTTCCTTGAATTTTATTTAAAACTAGATTGTCCACAAATTAACTATTCCGGAACGGACACTCCACAACGTGAGTGTTCTATCCTATATATGTTGATCTGTGTTTCTAAGTATACTAGAAACTTCTAACACTGCATTTTTCTCTTTTCCTAATGAATTCAAGCTGTGTTATTTGGTAAATATGTACCAAGCAGGCTACATGTTTGCTTTGCTTTGGTAACTTAGGATTTGCATTGGTAGCAGATTCACAGTGTTCAATCCCTTTGGGTAGGTCTCCTCCTTAATTAAGAAACAGCTTCATAAATAGAATTAATTTTCAAGGAGTTCTGATTTTTCTTTTTAATAAAGTTATAATAAAGGTGTTTTCAAACATACTACAGTTGTCAACCTGTGAAGTCCTTGATACCTTGTGTCTCTAAAAATTACATGTATTTTAAAGCATGGAAGATTTTGGATGTCCTCAGCCTCTTTATGTCTACTTTCTGTAACTACCGACATGTTTTACCTTTCTTTCTAAGTTCTACAAACAAGAGCAGGGTTAATTTAGAACCAGAAAGGGCCAATGCTCCTGGAGAGGCTTTTGCTAATGTTGTTGAGTATAGGTTCTCCTTTCAAGGGTACAGAGAAATTTGGGCAATAATGTCTAAATCAGATTTATAGATCTATTATACTCCACTAGGATCTAAGAGTTCCAGGTCAGCAGCAGCAGCAATCATTTTAAAATAAAAAGACTTTGTCTTGCCCCCACTACAGTGGATTCTAGAAAATTGAATCAATTCTCTCAGTGGTGGAAAACTGAGTGTTCAGAAACGAGAACATTTAACTGCAGAGTTAAAAAGCAGCTTTATTACCCAATGGAGTGAGATGACCAGTACTGTAATATCTAACTCTATTCACAGCTTGCCAGCTTTGGCATTAATGTTTCTTCTTCTTCAGAAATGTTCTTCTTCCATAATTTCAACCAGTATTTTTGCATCAAGAGTAAATTCTTAACTTGTTGTCCACACAGTCCTACCAGAGATAGGAATTTGCAGCTGTAGGTTGGAAATTAGTGAAGGAAAAACAGAAATGAAAAAGAGGTCAGAAAATAATCCAACGTAACTACAGCAGGTGCTGTCACTTTCAGGTTTGTCCCCAAAACATAACATTGAAAGTTGTTATTAAGATTAAGAAAGCAGTAACTCTTCATCCATCCTTACCTAGTTTCATACTTCTCATCAATACAAAACAGATGGATACAGAAAGCATTTGAAGCTCCTCTGTACACTGGACGAAAAGCACCTTTTTCTTCAGTCTCCAGAAGTGGTGTTGCTGAGGCTTTGACATCATCTAACAGCAGTTCAGTATGGGAAACAGCAGTGGCTCTGTCTTTCTGCAATAATAATAGGTGATCGCTTGCAACATTTCAGAAAACACTTAAATTATTTAATTAAAAGGTCTTGCATTATTCCTATTTTAAAGTGTTCCAAGCAGAAACAGAGATGTGCTTTTTATTTTTCCCATTTTGAAAAACACAGAAGTTCAAGAAGGTATTTTTTAGTGTGATCTGTTTCTGAAACACTAGATAAAAGTGGCTTTTGAAAACAAATACATTTTTGCTGAGGGGTAATAAATTCTCATCAACACTGCTGCATACAGTGGCATTACCTGCACAGCTGCATCCTGATCATGAACACATTCAAAGCTTGGAGATGAAACAGACTCTGTTTCTTGACTTGTTTGGTTGCTTTTATCTTCATCTGAGTAATTAAAAAGAATAAATGCATCATGCTTAGAAACAATAGCTTAATGCTTGGAATCACAGCAATAACTAGAATGTGCCAGACTACCTCCATTGAAAGGTTTTATTTAATTTTAACAACTGCAGTTAAAATAGATCCTCCTATAGTTTCCTAACTCGAACTTCATTAGACTATTTCATTTCAATGCAAAAATTCAGAGAATGGATTGTAAAATAAGAATTGAACTTGACAGCTTGGAAGCAATTGCTAACGTGTATTATATATAATAATTTTTTACTCTGAAGGGAAAATATAATTCTTTAATGTATTGACCAGTATCATAAACTCTGTGCCTGTTGCTAACTTGTTTTCTGATGACTACAAGGATGAGTGAGGGCTCTTGATTCTCAAATGAGTTCTCCTAGAAGCCTGAAATTCAGAAAAAACTCTAGTCAAGCCAGAACCCTTACTCACTCTTTGAAGCAGGGACAAAAATCAGGGATCTGAATTCCCTTCTCAGTTGCTAAACCTAACTAGTTTTCTAAGCCCCATTTTATTTTTTATAAAAGTAGTTTATAGGTGCTCTTTCATCAAGTTTTGTCAGTTTATTTCCTCCTTTTTCCTCTGATCTGAGAATTTCTCTTCTCTGCCACTTTCCCTGGATGCTGAAGTAACTGCTACCTTGTCAGCCATTGCAATTTTGAATGTGTGTGTGAGACTTCATAGTAAGAAAAACAGACATTCGTTGAACCACACAAGGAATGACCACAGTAGTAGGAACCATGGGCTTTGTTAAGCTTTCTGACATCAGCAGCATAAAAAAAGAATAAAAGGGCTCCAGAAAAGGAAAGGCACTTTACAAAGTAACAGAAACCAGGTTTAAGTCTGCATGACAGACCATCCTGTCAACCTCAGTACACTGTAGTAATATTCTAATCTCGTTCATCCCAACCTGAGTAATATCACCTTTGTGTGTAAACTGTTAACTAAGGTAATGAGATAAAATTACTTGTAGCCATCTGATGAAGCAATATTTAAACACTGACTGTCATGATACCTGCATATAAGATGCTATATCCATACACTTTTATATATATATACACATATACACACATGGCATATTGTCCTGGTTTGAGCCAGGACGAAGCAAATTTTCCTTTGACTGATTTTTTTTCCTTCGACTGATTTTTTTTCCTTCTGTGAGCTCTCTTTTAACTAGCAACAAGTTTTACAGCTAGTGAACTGATAATGCTGGAATGTTTATGTTACTGCTGAGATGCCAAGGACCCCTTACTCTGCAGCCTCAGATGCTACAGGAGCAGAAGAGTCATATCTGTAATCCTCCCTTAGGGAGGAGTGGACTAGACAGACAGCAAAACTGACCAAAGTATTCCATTCCATATATCTATGCAAGCTCAGTGTAAGGCCAGAGATCATGGAAGTCAAGCCCCTTCCTGCCTCTTCTTCCATCCTCTTCCGTTCATGGCTGGCATCTGGGGAGGACTCCATCCATCCATCCATCCATCCATCCATCCATCCATCCCCACTGATCCCTAGGCCTTTGCGTTCCTGACCCTCATAACTCTCCCCTCAGCTCCTGTCTGCTCTGCTGCTCTCTCTGGCAGAGCCATCCGGGACATTTTGGAACTGCTCACAGGTCAGAGAATGCTGTGGGAGTTGCTGGGGGAGGGGAGAGGCAATAGAGGTTTTGCACATTCCTGAACATACTCGTATATATTTCTACATATTTTCTTATCATTAGCATTTAATTAAAGCTGTCTAGTTTAGTTTTCGATCCAGAAAGTCTCTCTCCTTCATTATCTCTCTCCTTCCCTACCTGGGTGGGAGGGGGAGGGGATCGAGAGAATTGTTGTCGCTGGTTTAATTGCTGATCCTGAGTCACACCATAACACACATATATGCAGCAGCTCTGGTTAGATGCTTAAGACAATTAAAGCGAGCATCTGTATGTTAGGGAGTTTATTTAAGTATCACTAAACACACCTTTTTTTCCCTATTCAATCCCCTGGCCAGGGCCAAATCCAGAGTGGATATTGAAAATATTAAGAAACCACAACAGAAATGTTCAAAAACAATTTGGGACTTACAGGCATATATATATTCTTTTATTTCAACTACCTAACCGTTATTTTAAGACACATCTTTGCTGTTTTACATAGCAACAGAGAACAACTCTGTAGAGCTCTACTGGTACCTGACACAAGCGTGGCAGAACCAAATAGAAACTTTTATAACATCGTGATACTTGCTAGACAGCAGGTAACTGCCATTCCAGCAGATGTTCCACACCTGGAGCAACACAGTTCCTAAATCTGTATAGTGATGGGTAATTTCCTTAAAATTAATCTGAGGTGAGGGTATTCAGAATGAGAGATCTTCTGATAATGCATCATAAAGGTCATATTTGAAGTTAATGTTATGGACCAGAATTATTGAACTGTCCACTTGGAAAAGAAATGTTGAAATACTAGTGAATCCTACATGTTACTCCAAATAACCACCAAAATTTCTAAAGTGAAGTGTTAGCTGCTGTTTTTAAACTCTAAACATATCTTCTACAGTTCTGACATTATCACCTTATTATCTTACACTGTCACCTCCCTAATTCTATAGATAAGTCCAGAGTTTGATTTTGTATCTAAAAATATAGCCTGAAATAAGTTTTAATTAATAAACTCTTGAGGTGTAGGTACCACTGCTGCAGAAAACACTCAGGCTAGGATGCGCTTGCATTTGAAAACTTCAGTAACTCCAGGAATTCAATGTTTCTGAGCTCCAGGAGGAAGAAAAGAAACTTCAGGAAACCTGGCATAACAGGCCTCTCTTTGAACTTCACCTTGGGAAAACCATCTAAGCTACACTCACAGCCATAAGGATTTCTTCATACAGTAATGTGCATTATTTATTTATTTATTCATTTATAAAAACAACTCAAATGTTTAAAAAAATTTAGCCGAGATTATTTTAAAATATCTGTTATCTGAAAATCTGCTTCTCTGCATCTGCATTCTTTTCTGCTACCAATGTGCAGGGCAAGAAGAAACACAAGGGTTAGAAATCATTGTTTCTCTAGAGGTATCAGAGATGTGAGACTTCAGGGAAATGATCAGATCTTGTCTTGATTAACCAGGCTACATTTCTCATCACAAACAGCATTGCAGGTGTCAGAAGTTAATTACTACAAGTCTCTTGTTGTTGTGTAAATATTGATATGTTGTTTCTGACTTTATACTAAAATTAAATCCCTTAATGGCTCCACCATCCACTACTGTCAAACATAGCTGCATCACTGTTTATATATATGCTGTACACAAGTGACTTGGAAAAGGTAAATATTGTTGCATTAAATGTAGTAAGGAACAGGAACAAAATCAAAACAATTCAGTGATTGCTGGGTCCTTAGCAGAGGTAACAGTCAGCAGGATCAAGAAGCTGGTTCACCATGAAGCCTGATGAAAAGCCCTTGAATCATTCCCATAATGTCTTCTAGCCACTAATTCGTGACACCATATAGAGTAACAACCAAATTACTGTAATTACCCTGAAACGTAAGTGGCATATCAATATTGTGTTAAAGACAGATTTTTGTTTACTCTTTCAGTATTATTCAGTATTACATTTTGAAAGAAAAAATAGTACCAACCTGTGATCTCTCTTAAAAGCTAAAGAACTTGAAAAAATAACTTTATTATGTAGAGGTTTTTTATGTAGGAACATAAAATTACTCTACAAAGGAATGTAGACTGCATTTAAAATTCTCAGCCTTTGAATTCATTAAAACAAAGTTCACATCCTCTTTTGATGTAAGGTGTCTAGTGAACCTTCACTGCCTTCACACTAAGGGACAAACTGGCAGCAAATTTCCAATACAGCAGCCTGCAGGAATGATGCAATCATTAAAATGGCATTCATATAATTGTTATGTGTTATGCAATATAGTAAAATATAAACTATGTGTGACTGATACAATAATAAATTCCAAGCATATATGTTGGTCTTTATATTGGAAAGCCTTAACACTGGACTACCAAAAAAATAAACAAAAAAAATTTCCAAAAAATAATAAACAAGGTAATTCTATTTTCAAATTGGACTCTTAATAAAATGAAAGTCAGAGACGAGAACTGTGCTTATGAATGGTTTGGGTGATTTTTCCTGTAAACTTGCTAGTTAACATACAACCTCTTTCAACCTTTTGCAAAGCCTATTCAGAAGCTAGAAGTAAATGCACCTTGAGTCTCTCTAGCATTTTTAAATAGAGATACCTTCTTGAATGTTTGGCTTCTGTGGCATTTTGAGAATATCTTCAGGATGTGGTTTACAGAGTCCATGGAAAGGCCCTAGATCAAAGCACTCTTGAAACAAGGAAATATTTACTTGAGAACACAGGCTCATGAATCCTACTGCAGTGTCAGCATCCTGAAATATAAAAGCAATGTCACACGTAAGAAAAAGCTGACGCCTGTGATTTTTAGGTCAAGACAAAAAAAATAAAAAAAATAAAAAAAAATAATTTTCTGAAACAAAAGTTACAGTGTTCCATCTCTAGCCGTGTATAACAGAAAAGTATAAAGGAACTATTTCAGCAGATTATTTTTTTGTGTGTCCTTGCAACGTGTGTATCAGGACCTCTATATTAAATGTTATAATTCTTTCATTAGCAATGACTTATGAGAACACTCTAATTCTGTTTATGGACCAAGTAATGACCTATTGTTTCACTAAAACATTGGTTACAGTAAATAAAAAAATATTCCTTTTAATTATATACCTTTAAAAAGGTGTAACTTTAATTTAACTTGTAGTGCAGCTAAAGTAAAATCCAGATTTAGCTAGCTGTAGTAGACAATGCTTTGTAAATAAAATTGTGCTCAAACTGAAGAGTATACTTTCTTTTTCATTGAAAATGATTAATTCAAAGCAATGACATACTATAGAAAGAATATCTAATGCTGTATATGGTATGTATTGTTTGCAGCAATTATAAGTGGTAAATATTTTCAAGTTCTGAAACTGCTAAAATGACACATTACTCTGTATGTTGACTATTACTGAAAATTTCCAGAAAGTTGCCATCTTCAGAGAGAAATAAATTCTGAAAAATGGGAATTGGCATGCCTGGGGATTTTTATGACTTTAAGCTAAGCTGAGCCTAGTGAAGGAAGCTCCACCATTTTTAGTACCATATGCAACTTAATGCTTACTTTTTTTTTTTTTCTTTTTCCTTATTAGTAATAATGAAAGCCTCCTTTATAAAGATAATGAAAACTCAATGGCTGAATTTGTATAGCTGTTTTATCAGGCCATCAGCACTCAAAAAAAATCCTATCAAACAAAGTTTATCTTTTTTCCCCCTCAAACAACAAGTGATTGTTTGTTTGCCGTGTTTGTGTAACCGAACAAAAGCTGGGTCGCTGCAGTTGTCTGGCTGCTATGTAATTTTAGGCCCAAGGCTCAGCAGAGGCTGATTAACCAATCCATCTACCATATGTGCAAAAAGAGGTTGCCAGCTTCATTCTCTGCAGGGAAAATTGGCATCTATCTTGGGTCACATGGAGGTGTCTTTCCAATCTGCGGCAGCAGCGGCAAGTATAAACTGTGAGGGTCTGAAATGCCTTTTACTGGTATCATATTGAGCTATAAATGTACAACTGAAATGTATTATTTACAAAGATAGCCATTTGTAATGTGCTATTACACTAATGGCTTATTGTTTCCCATTTGGCTTCCAATGGTAGTGATTACACGTTAAGGTTTTATAAAATCCTTTGCTATAGAGAGCAGACTTCTGGAATTAAGTAGGTTATGTTGCCTATCAGCTTACAGGATCATGCACAATTACTAACACAAAAAAAATAATAACAAGCATTTT